TGTCAATCCGCGAGCGCACAACCAGTTATCTCAAATTGACTAATAACGTGAATGAATCATGCATGGCACAGTCCCCGTTAGTTATCAAATTTAAGATATATAGTTTTGTTTATAGTAATATAGCTGGAATATAACCATGTCAGGAATATGATTTTTTAACATTAAAATGATTGACATTTGTATCTGATCGTAAAACAAGTACTTGTCCATATTGAGAGATATTGCTCTGGAACAGTATTCAAAATCAGCCATTTTGAATACATGTATATATATAAAATGATGTATAACGAATATATAAAATTTAAATATAATAAGTCAAAGCATTTAAGAGATATGGCTCTAGAAGCCCATTCATTAAAACAAAATGGCCGCCAGACAGCCATTTTGAATCCGATCTGAAAAATAAATGATGTACATCAGGAACCCGTAATGTCTAATGTATGTACCAAGTTTGGACTGCGTCCGAACGGGGACTAATAAGCAGAAAATACAGATTAATCATAACAAATAATAGGTCACTCATCAATGTGACAAATAAACACTGGGTATGGTACAATACAATCAGAACTATTTTCTAAGCTGCATCACATGCGCTCCTTGATAGCTAAGTGTAGAACTATTTCACAACTCAACAACTTGTACATGTATGATCAGTCATAAAACAACGTATCCACCATGTTTTGCTAGCATAGAAATTACACATGGTTACACTCACATGCAAATTTTTGCCAGTAAAACAACATGACCACATTGCATAACTATTCATTCAATGCAACTAAGCAATCTATTAAAAAAACTTTTCTATACTTTTCATTATCAAAAAAATTATAACCAATGCATATTTAAAATCACTGAATAATGTTTTTTTTATCACAAAGGCTCGGAACATATGAAAATTACTACACTCGTTTAATAAATCCGATATTACACGGTCACTCATTGGAGATCCTCTATTTATCACATGGAAATAAACACATTTTTTTGTTTGGACTGTAAATTCTTTGTTCTATTTTTGAACCAAATGGATGCCTCTCTGTTGCCTGACGTCTAAATTAGAATACCTATGATAGGTTATATACCTACAGTACTGTGTGTAATAATCCTTGGCAGTGACGATATTACCAGCAAGTTAAATATTATGGGAAATATATAACATATAAATAAGGTGTTAACATACCTGTTCCACTTTGCACAGTTTATCAACATATCCTTGATAATGTTTCATGCAGTCTTCAGCCAAGTGCAGATGAGTTGCATACTGAAAAAACAAAACAATCACAGATTTCAATTCAATGTTTATGATCAGTACTCAAAAATAGACTGCCATTCTCTGGTTAATAAATAATTTCAAAACATCAGTCTTGGTCAAAATTAATAAACAATATTCAGTGACACAGCACAGTACAATATAAGCATAATAGAATTCTAACTGGTTTAGAAGTAGTTTTAAAAAAAAATGAAAAAAAAACCAAACAAATATTCGATAAGATGAAAAGCAGGAATACATTTTCATTAAACAGATATCAAAGCAATCAGGCTTAAAAACAAACATTGGGAACAAAAATGGTTACCGGTACAGGTCGACTATATTTCAGCAAAACCCAAAACTAAATTGATTTCCATGTGTAATCATTATGTCTCTTACTCAATCTGTCAAAGCATGTCAGATGTAGAATGAGATGAATAACTCATGAGGGATTCTATATCTACCTTGCTCAGTTCTTTCTGATATTGTGGCATCTTTTTTAACATCACAGAAAGATCTCGTACTGAGGTTTTATCCCCACTTGAAGACAGTTTCTTGTTCTCAGCAAACTTCTTTAACATTTTAGTAACTTGCCTAAATTATAAGTAATAAAGATAAGTAGAATACAAAAGAATATTGAAAGATAAGGAGGGATTACATTTGGGTTGCATTGGGAAAATACGGACGAAATGGTTATATTGGTGGTTACATGCCAAACAGAAAGGTTAAATCAGACAGAATTGTTATATTAAGGTTGCTAGTATGTTAAGAAAGAGAGACATAGAAAACAGGGAAAGAAGGGTGATTTCATATTCAAACACCTGGGTCAAACCTGGGTTAACCTGGGTTTACCCGACCTGCCCTATTCAGACCTACTAGACCTAAAATATGCAAATTAGTAGTAGGTTTGAACCTAACCTCCGGATTAACTGCCCATTAACGCCCCCACTGAAAACAAACAACAGAGAACAAAGAAGACAGACCTAGGGAAACCTAGGTTTTTCTTACAATACTGTTTCAGCCTGGTTTCAGTCGGAAAAAAAATAAGATGTATACTATGGTGAAGTGTTAAGAATGAGCAGCTTCTTAGGATAAATTACTTGCGTTATATATATATTTGGCATAGTCAGTAAAATATGTTTATCCATGGAGCGAACTTGTACATTTTGTCCGCAACAAGTACGGTCAGTTTTGTGTCCATGTCAGTTCACAAATTCATA